GTTTCGCCATCTTCGAGCAGCATTTCAAGGTCTCCCAACTACGAGGTCGCATTTTGCAATCTTCGAGCAGCATTTCAAGGTCAAAAATACACTCCAATCTGCCTTAGGAAAAAAAGATGGCGACTGGTACATTTACCGGTACCCATAATTTTTAGCGCACGGAAACTTGAGCAACACTCATAAAAACATACAGAAAAGTTCTAAAACCTTCAAGCCTTAAAGACACAATGTTGTTAGCACAGGGAGAAAACTGCAAAAATATGGCTTTCCTTGTACTTTACGGGCTGTATTAGGTTCACATGGTATTGTGGTAAAATGTATAGCCGCCATCTTTTTTCCTATGGAGGCCCGGATTACAATATGGCCTGCATGACGATTTTAGTGCAATCAAATAAATTTGCCTTGAAATGGCCAAGATTGTCATCTAGGACAAATTGAAAAAGATTTCAAAGATCCTGAAGATGGATTTTGGGAAAAAAACAACTCAGTATACTAGAAATTTGAGGCCAGTGTGGTTCAGTTGCAACTAAATAGCTAAATACTCTTCCGGTCGCCAGTGTTACCTTTGGCATCTTGTTTATTCGTGTCACTTATTTGTATTGAGTAATCCTACATGGCATAGAGTTCATGTCACGGCTGGGTGACTTTGCAGGGATCTAAATGTGAATGTTTTGCAGCGTTTTCATTGAGGTCAAAAAGCTCGACTCTAATTTGTATAGATGGTGACTGTAATGCGATACTTCTGTTTACGTCTCGGAAAAACAACTCGACTTCCCTTCTGATTTCAAGATAAATTTGCCCGTAATATATCAAAACAATGGTTTGTTTCAGCATCAAATAATTTGGAACAGCAGAGTAGGTTGACTTAACTTTTCACTATAATTTTTTAAACTTTTTTTTCCCTATAAAGTTCTACTGAGTGAAATTTTTGTAAAAGAAATATTAGTTTCCATGAAGGCAACCTATTTTTTTTCCAGAAAATACTTTTTGTGTCCTTTCTTACGAGATATGGTAGACTGCTCTGCTGTAAATGCTTTGTGAGAGTATTATGTAAAGAATATCATGTGATAGAATGAGTTAAACAGAATGTGTTGGTTTAGTTAACTAAGTTGATTGTTTTGATCATATTCATGGCAAGATGCCTAAGTTACTGGAACAGTATGACTGATATAGTTTACAAAAAAAAAAAAATTAGTTCATACAATATTGTTCAATATCATTGTTTTCGATCTGGAGAAATAAAAGAAAGTGGGGCAGATTTAGAGATAACTATTGCTAGTTAAGGATGTCAGGGGTGACTACATAGGCCCCTATATACATGTAAACGCCTGTGTAAACCCACTGCATCGTGCATTGCTTATGATTGGCAAGCCCAAAGTCACGTGACTTGGCTCTAATACGCTAAGCCTTCTGGGAAACTATGTGACATCTCCCGGGCACATCTTGGCCGGCGAGGGAAGATGGGTAAAGATGGCTGACTTTCCTGTGTGGGTCGGTGGACTGTCCTTAGATGTGAAAGAAAATGTACTGCATAGCTTATTTCACAAATTTGGGCCTATAAAAAATATAGTGATACTTAAAGATGAATGTGGAAGGTCGAAACAGTGTGGTTTCGTGAATTTCTTGTCGGAAGAAGTCGCCGAGCTTGCAGCGAAGAAATTAGATGGATGTCAGGTTTTGGGACAGACGATTAAAACCAAGGGACCATTGGAACTTTTATCTACAGGAAGAAGTACAACCTTTGTGCCTTCAACGACTGGAAATTTAGAGAAGAAGGATTACAGACCCTTAACGGACTGCCCGTATTTTGTCGAGAATCGTGAATGTTTCCCGAAACCTGGCGAGGTACGTACGTAAGCTTACAAAAACGTATGTACAAGTTATGAAAATGATTTTGAGGGGGTAGCCTCCACAGTAATGTGAATGTTTCATGCAAGTCACTGTGTGTTGTGGACATTTGCTAACAGGAACGATTTTCGTCTTCATACAGTGCTCTTTTCGTCACTGCCTGGCGGCCCGCGAAACTGATGTTGTGTGCGAAAAATGGATACAGAAAAAATGTACAGATATTTCTTGCTGTAGGAGGCATCCTAAACTCATCAAACAACAATCAGGTACGAAGAAAAAACGAAACGATGTAGTCGTTATAACCTGCAGGGGCAGAAATTTTTTTCACAACGAGTGTAATTACTATGATGCCTTTGTATGAGTCGAGTTTGTTATGTAACACAATACTTGTCACACAATCGCACCATAGGTCACGTCTTTCCTTATAAACTTGGTTTATTACGTTATACACAAAAGAAAAACAAAACAGATCTTGGACAGCCAACTTATTTTTGCTTTTTCTTTTCTTTACATAAATGATTGAATTAAAAATCTTGCCCTTTGTATCAAGAAAACCCAGGTTGTAACTATCGGATACTAGTAAATCTCTTCTCCAAAAATATGAATGAATGAATGAGTGAATTTTTATTTCCCATAATTTTACCATAGCTTTCAACATTCTACACCAAACTACATGTAAGTCATTGCTTGCCCATGTATGACAAGCACTGCCTTAACCAGATGTTAGTGTACAGCATGCCAAGGACCATGAAATAAAGCAGTAGCCATGTTCTTTTGAAACCCATGGTGCATAATCTACATTAAAGGAGCTCAGTCATGATGTTTTGAGTTATTATGGCCATGTACAAAATTAACTTTGAATTGAAGGAAACCTGAAAATAAAAGTACTAAAATAGAAAAATGCCAAAAAGATAATAATAAACCATAAAGGAACAAGGGTGGCTAAAGATGGAAAAGATTAGCACAGATTTCAAATGAAAATTTTAGGCTTAACTTTTCAAGATGCACAAAACACGACACAGCTCCGTTAAATACACCCAGGTTTTAAACAAAATGGTAAAAGAACAGGCTAAAAAGACTCAAAATGTTGGTGAACGATATTATGGTGAGGAAACCGTGACATGGTTCATTGAAGGAGCTCAGTCACGATGTTTTGAGTTATTATGGCCATGTACAAAATTAACTTTGAATTGAAGGAAACCTGAAAATAAAAGTACTAAAATAGAAAAATGCCAAAAAGATAATAATAAACCATAAAGGAACAAGGGTGGCTAAAGATGGAAAAGATTAGCACAGATTTCAAATGAAAATTTTAGGCTTAACTTTTCAAGATGCACAAAACACGACACAGCTCCGTTAAATACACCCAGGTTTTAAACAAAATGGTAAAAGAACAGGCTAAAAAGACTCAAAATGTTGGTGAACGATATTATGGTGAGGAAACCGTGACATGGTTCATTGAAGGAGCTCAGTCACGATGTTTTGAGTTATTATGGCCATGTACAAAATTAACTTTGAATTGAAGGAAACCTGAAAATAAAAGTACTAAAATAGAAAAATGCCAAAAAGATAATAATAAACCATAAAGGAACAAGGGTGGCTAAAGATGGAAAAGATTAGCACAGATTTCAAATGAAAATTTTAGGCTTAACTTTTCAAGATGCACAAAACACGACACAGCTCCGTTAAATACACCCAGGTTTTAAACAAAATGGTAAAAGAACAGGCTAAAAAGACTCAAAATGTTGGTGAACGATATTATGGTGAGGAAACCGTGACATGGTTCATTGAAGGAGCTCAGTCACGATGTTTTGAGTTATTATGGCCATGTACAAAATTAACTTTGAATTGAAGGAAACCTGAAAATAAAAGTACTAAAATAGAAAAATGCCAAAAAGATAATAATAAACCATAAAGGAACAAGGGTGGCTAAAGATGGAAAAGATTAGCACAGATTTCAAATGAAAATTTTAGGCTTAACTTTTCAAGATGCACAAAACACGACACAGCTCCGTTAAATACACCCAGGTTTTAAACAAAATGGTAAAAGAACAGGCTAAAAAGACTCAAAATGTTGGTGAACGATATTATGGTGAGGAAACCGTGACATGGTTCATTGAAGGAGCTCAGTCACGATGTTTTGAGTTATTATGGCCATGTACAAAATTAACTTTGAATTGAAGGAAACCTGAAAATAAAAGTACTAAAATAGAAAAATGCCAAAAAGATAATAATAAACCATAAAGGAACAAGGGTGGCTAAAGATGGAAAAGATTAGCACAGATTTCAAATGAAAATTTTAGGCTTAACTTTTCAAGATGCACAAAACACGACACAGCTCCGTTAAATACACCCAGGTTTTAAACAAAATGGTAAAAGAACAGGCTAAAAAGACTCAAAATGTTGGTGAACGATATTATGGTGAGGAAACCGTGACATGGTTCATTGAAGGAGCTCAGTCACGATGTTTTGAGTTATTATGGCCATGTACAAAATTAACTTTGAATTGAAGGAAACCTGAAAATAAAAGTACTAAAATAGAAAAATGCCAAAAAGATAATAATAAACCATAAAGGAACAAGGGTGGCTAAAGATGGAAAAGATTAGCACAGATTTCAAATGAAAATTTTAGGCTTAACTTTTCAAGATGCACAAAACACGACACAGCTCCGTTAAATACACCCAGGTTTTAAACAAAATGGTAAAAGAACAGGCTAAAAAGACTCAAAATGTTGGTGAACGATATTATGGTGAGGAAACCGTGACATGGTTCATTGAAGGAGCTCAGTCACGATGTTTTGAGTTATTATGGCCATGTACAAAATTAACTTTGAATTGAAGGAAACCTGAAAATAAAAGTACTAAAATAGAAAAATGCCAAAAAGATAATAATAAACCATAAAGGAACAAGGGTGGCTAAAGATGGAAAAGATTAGCACAGATTTCAAATGAAAATTTTAGGCTTAACTTTTCAAGATGCACAAAACACGACACAGCTCCGTTAAATACACCCAGGTTTTAAACAAAATGGTAAAAGAACAGGCTAAAAAGACTCAAAATGTTGGTGAACGATATTATGGTGAGGAAACCGTGACATGGTTCATTGAAGGAGCTCAGTCACGATGTTTTGAGTTATTATGGCCATGTACAAAATTAACTTTGAATTGAAGGAAACCTGAAAATAAAAGTACTAAAATAGAAAAATGCCAAAAAGATAATAATAAACCATAAAGGAACAAGGGTGGCTAAAGATGGAAAAGATTAGCACAGATTTCAAATGAAAATTTTAGGCTTAACTTTTCAAGATGCACAAAACACGACACAGCTCCGTTAAATACACCCAGGTTTTAAACAAAATGGTAAAAGAACAGGCTAAAAAGACTCAAAATGTTGGTGAACGATATTATGGTGAGGAAACCGTGACATGGTTCATTGAAGGAGCTCAGTCACGATGTTTTGAGTTATTATGGCCATGTACAAAATTAACTTTGAATTGAAGGAAACCTGAAAATAAAAGTACTAAAATAGAAAAATGCCAAAAAGATAATAATAAACCATAAAGGAACAAGGGTGGCTAAAGATGGAAAAGATTAGCACAGATTTCAAATGAAAATTTTAGGCTTAACTTTTCAAGATGCACAAAACACGACACAGCTCCGTTAAATACACCCAGGTTTTAAACAAAATGGTAAAAGAACAGGCTAAAAAGACTCAAAATGTTGGTGAACGATATTATGGTGAGGAAACCGTGACATGGTTCATTGAAGGAGCTCAGTCACGATGTTTTGAGTTATTATGGCCATGTACAAAATTAACTTTGAATTGAAGGAAACCTGAAAATAAAAGTACTAAAATAGAAAAATGCCAAAAAGATAATAATAAACCATAAAGGAACAAGGGTGGCTAAAGATGGAAAAGATTAGCACAGATTTCAAATGAAAATTTTAGGCTTAACTTTTCAAGATGCACAAAACACGACACAGCTCCGTTAAATACACCCAGGTTTTAAACAAAATGGTAAAAGAACAGGCTAAAAAGACTCAAAATGTTGGTGAACGATATTATGGTGAGGAAACCGTGACATGGTTCATTGAAGGAGCTCAGTCACGATGTTTTGAGTTATTATGGCCATGTACAAAATTAACTTTGAATTGAAGGAAACCTGAAAATAAAAGTACTAAAATAGAAAAATGCCAAAAAGATAATAATAAACCATAAAGGAACAAGGGTGGCTAAAGATGGAAAAGATTAGCACAGATTTCAAATGAAAATTTTAGGCTTAACTTTTCAAGATGCACAAAACACGACACAGCTCCGTTAAATACACCCAGGTTTTAAACAAAATGGTAAAAGAACAGGCTAAAAAGACTCAAAATGTTGGTGAACGATATTATGGTGAGGAAACCGTGACATGGTTCATTGAAGGAGCTCAGTCACGATGTTTTGAGTTATTATGGCCATGTACAAAATTAACTTTGAATTGAAGGAAACCTGAAAATAAAAGTACTAAAATAGAAAAATGCCAAAAAGATAATAATAAACCATAAAGGAACAAGGGTGGCTAAAGATGGAAAAGATTAGCACAGATTTCAAATGAAAATTTTAGGCTTAACTTTTCAAGATGCACAAAACACGACACAGCTCCGTTAAATACACCCAGGTTTTAAACAAAATGGTAAAAGAACAGGCTAAAAAGACTCAAAATGTTGGTGAACGATATTATGGTGAGGAAACCGTGACATGGTTCATTGAAGGAGCTCAGTCACGATGTTTTGAGTTATTATGGCCATGTACAAAATTAACTTTGAATTGAAGGAAACCTGAAAATAAAAGTACTAAAATAGAAAAATGCCAAAAAGATAATAATAAACCATAAAGGAACAAGGGTGGCTAAAGATGGAAAAGATTAGCACAGATTTCAAATGAAAATTTTAGGCTTAACTTTTCAAGATGCACAAAACACGACACAGCTCCGTTAAATACACCCAGGTTTTAAACAAAATGGTAAAAGAACAGGCTAAAAAGACTCAAAATGTTGGTGAACGATATTATGGTGAGGAAACCGTGACATGGTTCATTGAAGGAGCTCAGTCACGATGTTTTGAGTTATTATGGCCATGTACAAAATTAACTTTGAATTGAAGGAAACCTGAAAATAAAAGTACTAAAATAGAAAAATGCCAAAAAGATAATAATAAACCATAAAGGAACAAGGGTGGCTAAAGATGGAAAAGATTAGCACAGATTTCAAATGAAAATTTTAGGCTTAACTTTTCAAGATGCACAAAACACGACACAGCTCCGTTAAATACACCCAGGTTTTAAACAAAATGGTAAAAGAACAGGCTAAAAAGACTCAAAATGTTGGTGAACGATATTATGGTGAGGAAACCGTGACATGGTTCATTGAAGGAGCTCAGTCACGATGTTTTGAGTTATTATGGCCATGTACAAAATTAACTTTGAATTGAAGGAAACCTGAAAATAAAAGTACTAAAATAGAAAAATGCCAAAAAGATAATAATAAACCATAAAGGAACAAGGGTGGCTAAAGATGGAAAAGATTAGCACAGATTTCAAATGAAAATTTTAGGCTTAACTTTTCAAGATGCACAAAACACGACACAGCTCCGTTAAATACACCCAGGTTTTAAACAAAATGGTAAAAGAACAGGCTAAAAAGACTCAAAATGTTGGTGAACGATATTATGGTGAGGAAACCGTGACATGGTTCATTGAAGGAGCTCAGTCACGATGTTTTGAGTTATTATGGCCATGTACAAAATTAACTTTGAATTGAAGGAAACCTGAAAATAAAAGTACTAAAANATTTTATGGCAACATTTGGTGTGAAATTGCTCAATACAATAAGCAAGTCATAAATAAGTGTAACATGTCATTGTGATATTAAAAAGTAATCCAATAGTATACTAGCTAAATTATATCCTTAATTTCACTCATCACCATTTGATTACCCATGTTAATTAATCTATTAGTCTGACTGCAAAATCCAGTAACCCAAGACTTTCAGACACAGCGTTCTTTGTATGTTGTTTCTTCATGTGTCATTTGGTAAGGTATGGCTCTTATAAGGAACCAATTGAAAATACATTTAACAACTGCCTTGCAAAGTGGAGGTTGGGTGCCCAAGGCATCCAGGAGCTTCCGCTATTGGTAGCCAGCTCCTAGATGGAGACTGCTCCCATGGCTAGCAAATCCTGGACACCCAGCCATGGAGGGGAGAAAGCAGGCACCCATCACACTGATAAAACTGTGGAAAGAGAAGGGAGGGACAAGGGAGGGGAAACAACCTCTGGGCAGAGTCCCTGTGCTTGAGATTTAGACACTCAAGGAAAACGCTGACCATGTTAAACTACTTGAACACCTTGTGGCCCAAGAACACATGGAATCCTGGCACATGCGCAGATCTAAACACCACTGACTGCAAAGGCAAGACCTGCGCTCCTTGTTGTTAACTCTGTTAAATTGTATTTAATTTGTATTTAACTGCATTTATTGTAATTATTTTCAATTGGTAACTTACATGTATATAAAATAAAACAAGCTGTTCTATTTACTTTGTTTCAGTGCAAGGCTATTTTCTTCAGTGAACAGGAGAGACAACAGCATTCTTGTCTAAACGCTGCAAAGGGATCTTTATCTAGTTTACATGGTGTAGCTTCCTCTGCCTTTAATTTTCTTCAGTCATCAAGTTTGCTAGCAAAAGAGAACAGTCCTGTTATGTTTACAAGCAGCTCTCCTCAGAATCTTATTAAACCCCATCGTCTATACAAAGCACCCAACAGTTCCCTGATGAATCATCACAACCACTGTGCCAATAGATTCTGTGATTGTTCTAGAAATCACACAGATTGTACTGGTAAAGCTAAAGGATCATTTTGTGTTTGCTCTTCTTGTGGAAAAACGTATGAAAACTCTGGGGATTCTTTAAGTGATTTTGATTTATCTGTTGATTCTGCGGGTACTGGAGGCCATAAATGTCCAAATTCACCTTCTGTAAGAGGAATCATCAGTGATGCAGACGGTATGTTTATTTAAATTATTATTAATAATGCTTTTGAAATACATATTTAAGCAAGTGACAAGTAAAAACTAACAATATAAAGTGAAGTTAAATCTACAGGTCTTACCTCATTAGAACTTGCTCTCATATGGCTGGTTTGCAGTGTCACACCATCAAAAATAAAAATCATAACCATTCAATAAATTAAATCAAGAAGCTGGGATATGAAAGATGATTGATAAATAAACAACCTCGTCAAGATTTAGTTCTGTGCGGTTTTTCATTCTCCAGTTATTCGGAGAAGTGTTTCACTCAAATTTATAGAGCTTCNGCAATATTTGCTCCTTGATAATGGCATCATGAGGCCACCAAAACTTTGGGACAATATATCAGTAGTTTCTACTTGCTTATTTATCATTGTTTAGTAATATTATTATTGAGATGATCATTTTTATTTATTTCTGATTCATTGCTGAGTAAGTGTATTGAGTAAATTGTCCTTGGGGGCTACTTCTATGTGAAAAGAGTTATAATCTTCTCACTCGCGATGTAAAGTGCACTTGATATTTTATGGAAAGTCATGCTATATAAATTCTAAATATTATTTTTCTAAATAATTTTTTCTCAGATTTAGGTATAGAGTAGTTGAAAAGATTGTAGTTTTAGAAGACTGGGAGGATAAATAAACAATAGCCTCCATTTGGCGCAAAAAATATGCTCAGATATTTGTCTGTGGACACTGTCTGTTCGTTTCGAGGAACAGATAATGTCCAAGGACAAATATCCAAGCATATTTTCGTGCCAAATGGAGGCTATCGTGTTTATTATCCTTCAAATCTTTTTCACAACACGTGCAGTTTTGAAAATTGGGAATATTATCGGATATTCCCCAGTTTTAGCGGGGGAATATTTGGTCACAAGCATGTTTAGACCAATCGTGGGAGCAAAAATATTTGATGGATTATGCCACTGAGTGAGAGAGATCTGATTCAGTGTTTCTTCTCATCCATTTTGTAGCATTCAGTATCGGAAAAACCAACTACTTGCAGAGTATTGGCTCCCTCTTCTTTTCCAGTTTATAAAATGTTTGTGCACAATCAGTGACTATCCATGAACATGCAAAGTCAGCATAATTATACAGTAGGCTCAACATTCTCCCAGTTTTGTACTTGATTTATAAAATAAGATATTGCACAAATGTGCATGCTTACATTTTCATCCCATACTAATCTTTCTAAAAGCCTAAATGGATTTTTTTTAGTGGTGATCACATCATGTTCTTATTCACAGCCTTGGCATTCAAGAGTTCTTTGACTGGATCTCCGAGCCAAGGGTCCACAGCTCCTGAACCAGAACCGATAGGTGTGTTCTGGGATATTGAAAACTGCCCTGTACCACGTGGCAAGTCTGCGTCAGCTGTCGTTCAGAAGATAAGAAAGGAATTTTTCAGTGGAAAGAGGGAGGTTGAGTTCATGTGTGTTTGTGATATCAACAAAGAAAAGAAAGAAGTCATTGAAGAACTTAACAAAGCTCAGGTAAAGATTTCAAATTCCTTGGACATGCAGTGTCTTTGTCAATCTAACTAGAACCTTGGATGAGGCTTGTGGAAACAAGCGTGAACCACTCATCATTGTAGTTGAGATGACCAAGATCAGATGGTACAGTTACCTCCTCATGGACACCTTTATTTTACAGACAGGTCACTTTGTTTCAGTTCATAACTTCTTTTCCCTTGTATTTCAGACACCTCAAAACTATGCCCACTCAGCTCTCTCCCAGATATAACTGTAATTCTTTGTGGGTTTAAAGGAGCAATGAATGCAATTGCCTCCCAGACTAACAGTCCTGTGCTTTACTATAGGTAACTGTAGTTCACATCAATGCCACTTCAAAGAATGCAGCAGATGACAAGTTGCGTCAAAGTTTACGACGATTTCCACAGTCCTATCCTCCTCCAGCTACAGTCATCTTGGTATCTGGGGACATCAACTTTGCAGCTGAACTGTCTGATTTACGTCATCGGCACAACCTAGAAGTGATCTGTCTTCATAACGCCCAGGCTCAGGCTGCGTTACTGGCTTGTGCTCACAAGGCGAGACGATTTGATCATTTTACTGCTGATCTCCCTGTGGTCTTCCTTCCAAAGGTATATTCATGTTACAGTATGTGATTTTGTGATTCTTAAGAATTGATCACTGTAAATCAGTTTTTTGTTCACTTAGCATCCTGAATCAGTATGTTTGCTCAGTGCTTTCCAGTATTAAAGCAGTTTATTTCTCAGGTGATTGAATCCCCAATACAGAAAGTATATGAAGGTATTTATTTAGTAGTCACTAGTTGGTAAGTGTCTAAGTACAAATTTTGCACATAACTGTATATAGTTTGTGTGACTGATTGATTATTCTTTTGCTTTTTAATATAATTATTGTAAAGACAATTGTCCCATTTGTTCCAGGTTCCTGATGAGACTGAATTATCGTCAGAGCTTCTTGTACTAAATCTTCCAATGGGAAAGGATGTTACTCAAGTCAGGAACAGACTGAAGAAACTTTCTGACAATTGTGGAGGAAAGGTTGTAAGCATCTCTGGACGCACTTCTGTTCTAAGATTTCCAAATCCTGCTAGTGCTGCAAGGTAAACTTGAATCACAAGAAGTAGACTTGAGCAGAGTTACTTCACGTAAATGTACAGGGATAGGGATTTAGAAAACGCCCTATAAAAAAGTTCACCTTGACAGCAATGATGGTATAAAATGCCACTGTAAAACTAAAGACGCCAATCTTGCTCTTGGTAGTTGGTTTTTGTAAATGCATAGAACATAAAATTTTTCTCACTTTTAATTAATGAATGTCAGCATCTAATAACACAAGGCAGTATGCAGAGAAAGTCCTGTCCGATAGTCTAAAGACTCATGGATTTTCAAGTGAAGTTTTTTGGGAAACGTTTTGAGGAATTTCAGATTACAGAAGGCATTGTGCATGTAAGAGATGAAATTTATGGGCCTATTGAGAGTGAATTATAGTCTAAGTATAACAAACAACTGTAGTTAAAGGCTGGCACTAAGGGTACATTTCCTGGGAAAATTTTTGAGGAAATTCAAATCACAGATTGAAGTGCTATATGAGGTGAAATTTATGAGGCTAGTTCATCATACATGTTCAACTGTAGGTACAGCTTGCACAAAGGGCAATCCTGAAAATTGGTTTTCTTCGCACATTCATTTGACAAAATACATACTTAAAATTGTATTGAATTTACAGGTTATAAAATATTTTTGTTATTTCTTTCTTTTATCTATTTTTTAATTTTTTGATGTTCATGTGATGCAGTCTCGTATAATATACACTGGGCAAATTCTTTCCATCAGGGCAAGGAGAAGAATGGACAAAGAGGATGTCTTTGGATCCACAATCCAAGTTGTGTATTCAACAACCAGTCAAGGAAATGCTTGTAGTCCCCAAAAGAACAAGAAAACACAGCCATTGGAAACCACTGGTAATCTAACAAATAAAGGCAGAGATGCCTCAGCACAACCCCCATACAACCCATTACAAAAGGAAAAGACAGGCTCTAACTGTGCAATGCTGGATGATTTCGTCATTGGGAATGGCTCGTCATCTAGGAAAGGTGCGAAACAGGAGACCACGCTCAGTACCACACCTGTAGATGATAGCCCAGATTCAGGCGACAGTACTGAGGAAAATGAAGGCAAGCAAGGAACCTCCCTTGCAAGTTCCACTGGCCCCCAGTTCATCAGTCATCAAACCATGTTTAGCAATGGATCTTATGCCGGCATTTGGCCACACCCTATCTACCAGAACTTTATGAATTTACCAACACAGAGCACAAGTTTTCCAGGCATCACTCCCCTTGCCCCTCCACTGATGGGAGGACCACACCTTGCAGCCTCTTGGTTAGCTAGCCTGCATAACTTTACAGTTTTGGACCAGCAACGAGGAGGAATAGATTTGCTTGTCACAAATTTAGATGAGAGTGTGAGCAAGAAAGAGCTAAAGAAGAAACTGGCATCTGTGTTTCGAGAGCATTGTAAGGTACATGTGAGTGTATGTCAGATAATTCAGATTTAATTTCTATTTTCTATGTTAGTTTTATTTCTTAGTACCAACGGTATCATTAATTTTTACCACTGTACATGTGAGAGGACGTATACAGATTTAACAATAGTCACTGTCACAGTCACTGTGGTTAAATTGATTGGTAAATTGGTTGGTTACAAGTTAAAATGAACAACGTTGGAGTTACCTGAAAATGTTATAAATGTTCATGTTGATTAATAGGATGTTTTCATCTAGTGATGCTACAATCTTCAAAATTTCTGTCGGACTTTGTTTGGCATGATGGACATGTACACTAAGGGTGTATACATGGAAGCTCCCTGTTGGTAAATTGACGCTGCAGCTGTTATTTTATTGTGTCAAACACACATACACATGTACAAAGATATATGACTTCCAATACTGGGAATGACCATTTTAGTTCATCTAGCTGGTCTACATGTTTAAACTACATGTATAGCATGCCTGCACAAAATACATGTAGGTTTTTATGTTGATCAAATTAATTCCAACGTTGGGATTGTTCTTTTTTGTAGGTTCTTTCAGTCATTCTTCACAGTGGGGAAGGCATTCCTTTGAGAGCTTTTGTCAAAGTGCCAAAACCATCTGACGCACAACTGGCCATCTGCAAAGTTCACCAGAAGAAAATTTTCAACACTCACGTCACTGTTAACATAGCAACAGACAAAGAGAAAGCTCTCTGCTTTCTGCGTTGTGAAGTCACCTCCATTCTCAAAGAGGCTCCATTGCATTTCTTGCCATTGAACAAATTCCTCAGTGATTACTACGAGAAATGTTCTCGTGCATTTGATATGAGCTCCATTGGACTTATTCACGATCTAGTTGTGATCACTGGAAAGCCAGGTAATCAGGCTATAAGCCTTGTGACACGAGCCATTGGCAGTGTAAAGGTGTCTGTAGAACCTGAAGAGTTTGCCAGAGATGTTCATGGGCTTCTCAAATCCTGTGAGGGTTCGCTGCCATTGGTTAGTTTTGCTGCTTCATATTGGCTGTACTTGGACAAGAAGATAGAGTCAAATGAACATGGAACTGCCCTTGCTGATGTCCTCAGCTCCATTCCAAATGTCAAAATATCAGACTCTTTGATGGTGTCTTGGGCTAAACAAGCTATCAAAAATGGTATGTTACACTGTAATTGTGGAACTGCACTGTAGAACACTGAGGTCTCTTGAGTGTATGCTACACATAACTCACAGGGGGGAGGGTTAGGGGACTTCCTGGTGAAAAAGTTGGGGATGCTCATCGGAAAATTTGAATGAAGCCCCCTGGGGGGGGATACTTTGGGAATTTCTGGATGGGGATGTGCCGCTGGAACCCTGGAACCCTTAGCCTATACCAGAGCTAGTTCAGCTGAATTTTTGCTACCCTATACTAGAGTAAACTCCCCAAATCCCC